GACGGGACGGGACAACCCCGTCCCGTGTCCCGTCCCGTCCCGGTCCATTATTTGTCCCGTCCCGGTTTGTCCCGTCCCGAAAAATTTCGGGACGGATCCGTCCCGTTCCAATAAGACCGGGATCGAACGGGCCGACCGGGACGGGTCATTCTTGAACACCCCTAGGCTTGGGTACCATTTTCATAAAATGGGGGCAAAGTAGCCGGTTTTTTTTGGGGGGTGGGGGTTTTTGTTTTTGGTTTTTTTTTTGGGGGGGGGGGGAAGAAGAGGAAGTAGATGAGACTTCAATGTTGTTTGTTTGGTGGGGATTCACAGATTGCGTGGTGCATGGGAAGAAAAGCGTGGAAGATAAACATATCTTTTTTTAATAACCATAGAAGAATTTTTTTTAAAAAAAAGATGGAACTGTTTTTTTACCCAAAAAATTTCCAGTTTGTTCCTTCAAACTGTTAAAATTTACTATTTGTTAAAAAAAAAAAGTTAATATTTTAGTCCGTATAATTTTGAGAATAACAGGAAAAATATTAGCTTGAAAATTTTGAAGGATTTTTTTGGGAAGGCGGCGTAGAATGATTAGGTGGGTACAGTACAGAATAAAGATGGTGGCAGGAATGGCATCCACCCCAAGGTTCTGAACTAGGCATGCCTAGAGGTGTGTGCCTTACAGGCGGCAGCCGGTCAGAGCTGTTTCCTGTTCACCATGAAGTGACCTGCCTGTTTCCGCCGTTGTGGATTCGAGCAATCCGGTGGGTAGTTGGGTTTCCGCAATTTGGGTGCCATTCCCGATGCTAATTCTATGAATTTGTTTGACTACTTATCCCAGACGGCGGGTCAACGCTGTCGTTGTTGTTAGTTGGAGATCCTAGAAATCAATGAGCCACATTTTGTTCGGCCGAAGTCATGAATGAGCTGTATTGGCTAGTGAACAAATTGAAGATGCAAAAAAACAGTTTTTTTTTTGTTGCCAACTGAAAAAAATCAGTTAAAGAATGCATTTATTGCATCCAAATATGGACACTTTCATGTTTCATTGTTTTTGTTGGCTGCATTGAGGTGGCCCTTTTGGCATTATACTGAACAAGGGACACAATCACCCACGAGGACTTCGTCGGAAGACGGCAAATATATGTATGATTAATCATTGAAACTCCAATTTTAGAAACATGACTTTCGGATTCGTTGATCTTCCTAGACTCTTTGAGCCGCATAACCTCCTCTACCGATTGAGATCGTCGCAGTTATGGGATGAATTTTATTTTTTTAATCTGACTTGTGGTTAGTCCTTCGTTCACTGAGTGCTGAATGTTCCATGGCGTTTTCTTTATATTGGGCCGGCAGGATCTCAAGAAATGCAAGCCAGTTTGATGAACAGCAGTATATGCTCCAACCACGAAGAATGTGAGGGACGTAGTTCCAGATAAAGTTGACAAAAGGTTTCTCGGCAAAGGAGTCGGTGAAGGGGCACATGGCAAGTTCTATCTTTCACAAAATTCACATGCATTCTTTTTAGTAATGAAGCTTGGATTCGTTTATGCAATAAGAAGCAGGTGGGTATTGGTGAATTGGCAGGTGAATGTGGTGAAAGGATTGAAGTTGTATGAGGAAGTTTTTACTGACTCAGAACTCTGCAAGCTCTATGATTTTGTCAATGAGATCCATTCTGCTGGCCAGAATGGAGAACTCTCAGGTAAACCAACTATAGCTGAGTGATTCTTCTCGTTCTAGAATGTGAAGGGAATCACGATAGTGTTCTGTGTCCAAGGAAATTACTAACTTGATCTTGTTGGAGAATTGCAGGCGAAACTTTTATACTGTTCAACAAGCAGATGAAGGGAAACAAGAGAGAGCTGATTCAGCTTGGTGTTCCAATTTTTGGACAGATCAAGGAGGATGTAAAAAGTAGGAATTAAACGATTTCAAGTTTCTCTTTACCATTATTACCAAGTTGTGATTTGGTAACCACGTATTACATTAACGACTCCAAGTGATAGGATAGTCTGTAATCCTCATTTCCTGTTGAAAATTTGTGTATAGGTAATATAGAGCAATTCCAACTCTTCTTCAAAGTGTTATTGATCATCTTATTCAGTGGAAAACTTTCCAGAGTACAAAAGGCCAAATAGTGTATCATCAACTATTTTGAAGAGGTAAGTATTGCATACCCTACCCCTTAGTGTGGCTATCTCTAAAGTAGGCATAATAATAATTTGTTACGTACGACCCCATAACGATTCAGCATTGTCCATACAATCAATTTTAGGGAGAATATTCTCAGCCATTCCTCAAACCCCTCATCTGGAACAAACCTGTGTCCACTCTGCTTCTCTTGAATCAACTATGGCTTTTGGGGCGCGTACTCTTACTGGCGACAGTGAAGGAAAACTACAAGGGCCACTCATGCTCTCACCGAAGAATGGGTATACGTTTAAGAACTCATACTCTTTTATCCCCATAATCATGAACATCCTGCAACTATGATGCTTAGCCTTATTTGGATGATGACAACTCATTACAATCAGATTGAGAAGCATTCCAACATTTATGAAATGAGCTCACGCTTTAGAATTCAACCCAAGGCACATTCATTTTCTTTTCTTTTCGTGGTGGGACAGGTGTCTTCTTACCTTGGAACATGCCTTCCAAAAAACATGCCAAGCATCTTCCTCCTCGTGCCCAGAAAGGACGCTTCTAGCGTTACCTCCCCCCGTTGAGCCACAATCTCACATGGAAGAGTCCACTTCTGATCCAACCTTTGCTGTGGACGCACAAGTTTGAATTTAGTTTGAAACAGCAGCCTTAGGTTCAACCGAGTATGAACCGAGGAAGGTGGTGGCTTAGTTTTATTTTCATGTACTAATTGGGCCCGGCTGTTGTTTGTTGAGTTTCGTTCTTTCTTTTTGTCTTCTTTCGGCTCTTTTATTGTTAAGTTAGGTTGTATCAATGATCATAGTAGCTTTCCTTTTTAATGGATTTCAATCACGGTACCAAGAGCTTCGGAGTAGAGATCAGGTCTCAAATTTGAGTTAGTGTGAATCATCCTAGAGGGTAGAATTTTGTATGAACTGTAATTTTTGTTAATCTTCTTCTGAAAAAAAAGCTAAATCACCATCATGATGCATAGTTATGATTATTTAGCTCACCCTTCTTTTACTACACGACGGGCTCACTCTGTGAATGAAGTTTCGAATTATTTGAAAGAGGGGATGCCATCTATGTACACAATGAATAGCTGGGAATACAAGACCACTGAAGAAAGATAAGAAAATAAGTTAATTATTGCCATTGTGCTAAGTTATAAGGCAGTCGCAGATTTGGTTTTTTTGCATGAACAGTGTGCCAGTCTCTGTTTATATCTGGAATAATTCCTAGCAACGCCACACTTACATTCTTGCCATGATTCAACAACTAATAAGGCTTCGGTCAACAGAACCATTAATATGGCAAAAATATTTTTAAATCAATTTATAGAAGTTGAATTTTTTATTGTGAAACAGAAAAACAAAATCTTGTTTTAATACATTCAAAATGAATGTCAGTATATCGTTATATGCTAGTACGATTTAAAATCAATGCATTCTTTAGATTGTCTATAATATATCGTTATATTCCGCAAACAAGATAATCATTGTTGAATATAATGCTATTAATAGGACTAAGCTATTTGAGCGCCTTTTTGCCTTTAACTGTTAAATCATTCTGTTAAGATAACCTCTAACCAATATTAAATGTTGAGGTAAGACCGGATAACAAAATTTTTTTTATAGATATAGTTTGAATGGGTAATATGAGACTTGAGAATGATTTGGAAATAATTAAATTATTATAAAAAGTTATATCTGATATCATCAATTGAATCTGTTTATTTGTTTTCAGGTCTTTTTTGGAAGGTATACTGTATATTCACTTCATAAGCACTCCTACAAAATGGAAGATAATACATCCTATGGGGAAAGAAAAAGTTGAAGTGAGAAAAATTGTGTAACTGCAATTGGGCTGAAAAGAATGTACAATCTATCAAGATATTCAAATAATAGGATAGATATATAAATAACATCTCAGAAGGGACAAAGAAAAATCAGGACAGGGTTCATGAATATGACAACGAAGTCACTAATGCAAAATGGCACTACCATTACCATCATCCATGATGAAATGCTTATGATTTTTCTATATCCAAAACAAAAAGAGAGAGACTGAGAGTGAGAGAAAACAATTTCTTTTTCCCCCAAGAATCATCCTTTCCTTTTGGAGTACCTTGAATGAACGACTTCGAAAAAAGAAAAACCACCATAACGTGATCTCCCTTTCTTCCCCACCAAACTGCAAAATGCTGAGCAACCCGCTCAATAAAGTCATATGGGACTAGTTAAATGTTGAGGTAAGACCGGATAACAAAAATTTTTTTATAGATATAGTTTGAATGGGTAATATGAGACTTGAGAATGATTTGGAAATAATAAATTTTATTATAAAGTTATATCTGATATCATCAATTGAATCTGTTTATTTTGTTTTCAGGTCTTTTTTGGAAGGTATACTGTATATTCAATTGATAGCACTCCTACAAAATGGAAGATAATACATCCCATGGGGAAGAAAAAGTTGAAGTGAGAAAATTGTGTAACTGCAATTGGGCTGAAAAGAATGTACAATCTATCAAGATATTCAAATAATAGGATAGATATATAAATAACATCTCAGAAGGGACAAAGAAAAAATCAGGACAGGGTTCATGAATATGACAACGAAGTCACTAATGCAAAATGGCACTACCATTACCATCATCCATGATGAAATGCTTATGATTTTTCTATATCCAAAACAGAAAGAGAGAGACTGAGAGTGAGAGAAAACATTTCTTTTTCCCCCAAGAATCATCCTTTCCTTTTGGAGCACCTTGAATGAACGACTTCGAAAAAAGAAAAACCACCATAACGTGATCTCCCTTTCTTCCCCACCAAACTGCAAAATGCTGAGCAACCCGCTCAATAAAGTCATATGGGACTAGTCTAATGAGAACTGTCAAATGAATTATGGTCACTTGCATCTCTCCCGCATCATTCTTTAAAATTAAGATCTTTTTTTTTTTTTGGGTCCTTTTTGTCCTTCCAATAATCTAATCAATGCTCCTCCCACTTGAATTCCCAGGATCATTCCTCCAAAGAGTGAGTGCTGGAACGGTAAAGATCATAAGGTGCCCAGAGATGATCAACCGTGCAGGGCTTCCTAGAATCCAGCCTCAACCATGGCTTACCCTTTCCACTCCAATGTAGCAAACTAATAGGACCAGGATGCAGACTCCTACACTTGCCTTCAAGGTTGTCCCCTCCTAACCCATGTTGATTCCACCTGTGGTCCACCGCCTTTATATCGCCAGCCAAAACCAGCAGAAAAGGAGGCAAAGACCCCAAATGGTAAATCCTCTTCTGCTTCTGCACATCCATCCACCTCTCCACCTGCCGAGTATAATCCCCTTCCCTCCATTTCTCCACGTCCACTATCATAACCCCTGTGTTGAAATAGCATGGGTTTCGACCCTCAAAGGCGCGAGACAGAACTGCGTCTGTCCAGAACAGGTCCGTGAAGTAGTTGGTGAAGTTGGCATGGCAGTACTCGGGCGCCGCCACCACCTTGCCCTCCAAGTCAACCTCCCAAAGCTTCGCAATGTCATCCACAACGACGAGGTCGGAGTCCAAGTATATAACCCGATTCACGTAACTAGGGATAATATCAGCAAGGTAGATTCTTGCATAGTTCAAAGGCTGGTCCAATGCTTGTCGGATAGATTTGGAGATTTTCCCACGCACCCTGCTGGAATCGAAGCGGTAAATTTGGAATTTGAGGTAGGGGAAGGTGGTTTTGATGCTGAAAAGGACTTCAGGTTTGAACCTAGCCCACAGGAAATGGAACTCTATGTTCTCAGGGCAGGTGGAATGCTGCAAGATGGAGAAGACGGCGGCCATTGTGCCTCGGAGATAGTTAGAGTCCAATGTCATGGCAATGTGGATCTTCTCTGCGTTGCAGGCGTCCCCATTGCGAAAGGCCGGGGCTTCACGAAAACTGGGGACATCGGGGGCGGGCTTGAGGATGACTCCAAGGCGGATGGTGGCGGCGGCGGCGGCGTTGAGGACGAGGAGGAAAGACAGGAGGCCGATGAGTTGTTGGGTTGGGGCCGGAAAAGAAGAGCTATAGGAGGCCATCCTGTCCCCAGTGGCGGGAAATGGCGGGAGGGGCAGTCAGGGAGCAAAGAGAGGCTAGATCGTGGGAGCCATTGTTAGTCTGGTCGAGACAATGGCCACAATTCATTATGATTCATTCCATTAAACGGGAGGAAAGCTGGTTGGTGGGGATTGTAAGGAAGGGAACAATCCTCGGAGCCTCCCTACTCTACTTTCAACCGTGTTTCCATTATTGATATTTTGAACCAAATAAGCTGCGTCTCTAAATCTTTCTGCTAATCATCTCCCTTGATTTCTCACTCCAATTTTTTATTTTAATATATTTTCCTCCCTCGCAGGATTTTCTGTATACCCTCCTCCTCTGGTGCCTAAATTGTGGGAGCATGCAGATATTTAGTTGATTGTTAGTTTTCTATCAAGTTTTGGTCTGTGATCCTCTGAAATTCTTTCCCTGATTAACTGGCGATTATAAAGTTATAATATTATCTTCCCTTCATTATATTTATTTGATATTACAAGTCTCTGTTACTGGCTTACTGTAAAAGAGGCAACCTTCGATCTTTCGAACATTATCAACATGAATAGCTGCCTCCCTTGCATTTATTTTCCGCCAAAATAAGGTATCATAAGGTTTTCTTACCATAAAGATTACGGTCGGAGTTGATATCGTGTGCCAGATTCAACGGTAGGCATATTTATGACGAAGCCTTTAATGCTGGCTCCCTTAACATACGACCCACAATTTCTTTGGGCCGAAGTGACACAAAACAGGAAACCCCAAAAAACAAAAACCATCTCGTGAACAATAGGAATTATTGATTATTTTTTCCTTTAAAATCACGCCGAATTTATCATAGTAAGCCAATTATTTATGAAAAGGGGAAAAAATTATATATTGATTTATGGATAGCTATACGTTGTTACTTCCAGGGTGAGGCACCACAAAAAAAAAAAAGGACTCAGTATTAATTTTAAATGTTGACAGTCCACTAAGACGCGTAATAAGACGCATAATGCAGTATATAAAACTTGTGTTAATATAAACGTTGAATATCTCTTATCTCATGATCCATAAACATAGATTGCACCACGCTTTAGTTGATAAATAATAAGAATTGTATAGACCAACGTTTAAACCCCGTTAAAATAAAACTAGATAATCAGAGGAGCCAATCTTGTGTACAAGGGATCACTGCCTCAAAGGCCCAACATGTCCACATATATGATCATTATCATGCATGTTGACAGTCATTTTTTATAGTATGATACTATCTCTAATTCTAAATATAAGACCTCGTAGGTAGTACATTGTTATTTGTCAAGAAGATGCCATCACCATCCCTTTCCCTCGAATCCAATTCTGGTAAATATTCCTGACTGGCTCAACAATCAGGTTTCCGTGCGATACAGATATGACACATCATTAAGATGTCCATTTTTTACCAGCTTAGTTCACTCAAAAGGTATCACATAACAATACATTGAAAGGAAAACTCGTCCTAATTTTGATCTTTCCAGTTGCATGCCACAAGGCAATCAAGCATGATTCAATCATAATTCATCTTTTGGAGGCGCTTGAAAACATTGCTCATCCCAGTAGTAAGGAAATTTCAATCTTGCTGCAGTATGAGGCATGAACCAGTCCTCATAGATAAACCTAGACAGGAGTCAAAACACTCAAAGAAAATAAGTAAGAAAAACGGGGAACAGGGAAGGAATCAAATAAACAAAAACATCTCCATCATAACACCGTAATTCAATTTAACGATGTGCCACCTAAATTCCACATATCATACAAGAGATGAGTTTTAATGCGACATAAAAAGGCCAAAAGTATAAAGAAATTTTGAACTGAGTCTCCAACTAACTGACATTTCTCATTAAAAATTCGCACTACTATGGCATGGTCCACTCCAAAATAGAAACCATTACGGGATGCACGGTGATCAAGATGCAGTTAAACCAGAGAATAGTTTACCTAACATGATTCCTTAAGAAGGAATGAAAGAAAATTTTTTAAACATCCCCCCTCCCGGGGAAGAAGCATCTGCTTTCCTTGCCTAAAAGAATAGTAATTGACAAATGGAAGGAACGCAAAGACATGCAGCTTTCATTTGGCAAACTTTGAACTAGTGTCTCCACAGACACTAGGTAGCTTAAAGCACGTTATACAATTAGACAGATGAAAATGGCTCATAACAGATACGATCCTCGTTCCAAGCCATGCCTTGGTCAACTCTTTGGGTAAGCAAAACCAAACAGCTACAAGAAAATTAAGTTACAGCATAAACAAGAAGCATATAAAATAAGGGGTAATAGAGGTTACGTACACTTTAATTGGCGGTCTTGATATGATAACAAGCACTTGTAAATCTTCATGATCATTGGTATTCCATAACTGCAATTCAGATCATCTTTAGTAGCCCAAAAATTTGTAGAATTTGTCCACTCTTCCGCACCCCCCGGGAAAAAACCCCAACTAAACCCCCCCAACCAAAAAAAAAAGGGGTGTGCTTCCCATTTTGTTAAGATGAGCAAGCAACATTGAGAGTTGACATCACATTAGTTATTGGCATTATAACTTGATAGGCATAAACACAACAAAGCAAAATTGAGCATGAAAACTCTCACCCTATTTTATCAGATGTATACCTGATGAGCATCATTAACTGGAATATGAAACGTGCTATTTGGAAAGACAAAGTGCTCCTGTGGCTTCCCTGGGTATCTTTCGTAAGAATTTGTTGCAAGATAGAGAGTGCCACTCCCTTTAAGGACAATGAAAACTTCTTCACAGGAATGCCTGTGAATTGGAGTGCGTGATCCTGGTGAAAATGTTTGAAGCCACACCTCAACCTGTTTTAAACCAGATGATTTTTTGAAAGTAAATGGCATATTACCAATAAGAAATTGACTGGTCATGACTATGATTTTTCATTCTTTTTTTCCTTCGCTGTTCAAAAATATGAACAATATGATTACACCATCTCAATCTTTTTTATTTTAATAAATAGGAGATATAAGTTATCATTATCACAAAGCCGGTTCTCCAGTTAACATTTTTTGCAATGATGATCATAACTTGAGGCATTTTCTTAACACTCACTGTTATTGTAAGAACTTTTATCATTCTGATGATATTTTTTATCCAATCTTTTTTTGGCCAAATTTTTTTTTATCTAATCAAAATATAAGCAAGTTTAATATATCTAAAGAAAATGAAAATGATCAATTATATTATGCGGAACACCTCTCTCATTCCATGCATGACTGAACCTGCAATAGTTATGTGAGAAAGACCCGCCCTTCCATAGTTATCCTCAGGAATCTCACTGATATTTCTTACAAGTGGTAACCCTGCGTATTCGTATATTAAGAAAGCAAAGAATAATTAATTATACATTGTGAAAGTAAGATTTTGACAAAAACTGACATTCATCAGCACAGACCCTATCCTTGAAATTTCAAAACACTAAGCTGCTCATGCTTCTTGTAGTTCCGGTAAATGGGAACATTCTATCAAATTTAACACATAATCTACACAAGAATAAGCACTTGAGAACCAGCGCTGAGCATTCTGCCAAACGGCTCAGTAGCAGGACGGGGGTATATTTACCATTGATTTATCATGAATAAGTTTACCAGTGAAACAAGAAAGAATAAGTTCGCCCGTAATCAGATACCCATTCAAGTAACAAAAGTAAAAGTACAGACGAAGAAACTCATAGATTGGATGCCTTTTGCCGATTGAACATGTTAAGGTCACCAGACAAAATGTTTAAGTAACGTGGGGAACAATCGTCGAACACAAACTATTCGAAGCAGAATGAGGAAGAGCTACTGCCAACATTGACCCATCACATCAAAGCATTACAGATGCAAGGAGGAGCATTCGCAGACGAAGAAAATTAGCTTCCCATGCTTATTCAGAAATTTAAAATACGGAAAGGAAAAGGACCGAAGAAGTGATTAAATTAAGAGCTTAGGACTCATAAGCATACTAGCCTGTGATAGAGCAATGGGAGGCAAGAGCGACTGCAGAAAAAGCGAAGAAGCTGACGAGGAAGGCGAGAGAGCACCCAGCCATCTTCCAACAAATTCTGGGGACCGCAGGAGAAATGCCAACCACCTCAGTCGTAAGGGGTGGGTGACACGTGACTTGCACGGGACCTTGATTCTTCCCATTACTTTTTTTTTTTGGGGCCAATATGATTCGTCCAATTACAAAGATCTCATGGGCTTGTGGGATAACGTCAGTGCGCGCACGGGCCCTGGGAGAAATCCACGTCCACCATTTATGTGGCCACGGCGGCAATCAGTTGTTTGTAGATTTACAATAAATTAGTATTACTTTTTTGAAAATACTTTTTTTGGCCAAAATTTAAAATTACTCTCATTGAAATTGGTGATTTTCAATGTTAAAAGAGGACCAACAATTACTTCTAAAATTACCATTTTTAAAAAAAATCATCAATTGCATTAATTAATCTCTCTGCTTTAGCCATGCTTTATTATTTTCTTAAAGTAGCCAAATGCATTTCTTACATAAAATTAAAGAAATATATTGAAAGCGTAAAATAGTTAAGCACGATTTACTAGGTATTAAGGGTAAAACAAACATTATTATGCCTGTTATGTTTTTTTTTTTCAAGTGACTTGTATAAAGAACGAACAAAATTTTTTACAATGCTCTTCTTCCCCTTTTTTTGTAAAAAAAAAAATCTTTTCCCTCCATGAATTCCTTCTCTTTTTTATTTGCCATTGCATTACATTCTCTCCATCCACATAAACTGTGAGACCCCTCCCCCCGCGCCCCACCAGGACTCAAGATGGCGAACTGTAGAATGTCAAGATTATTAAAGGCTATATCATTCTGTCATTTGACAGGTATCACGTTTACGAGATCTTGCTTTCCTAGGAGACGATATTATGAATTCATCATCACTGCGAGTAGTATACAAATGTGATTCATGAGAAAGTTGCTACGCAAAATATCTGAGGTCTGAATAGTAGCCACCACGTTGATTTCCCTAATCCGTTCTCTGCAGCCATCCAAACTGCAGGAAGAGGTGTATTAGTAAAGAGGAAATGGACCTAATAAATACTTAGGCTTGAATAAATTAGGTGACATTTGTACCTTCCACGCATACATTCCAAAGAAAGCTATCGTGTCTGCAGTCCAAACAACGGCAAAGGACTTCCAAAAGAATGGGATTGCAACATTGAGCAATGGGATGAGAAGAAACAGATAGTTCAGCGCTTCTTTCTCATTTTTTGAACAGTCTCGAGCTCTTAGTGAAGGGATTGCTGCAAGTTTAAAGAGTCATGATTATCTTCTGACCCCATACAAAAATGAGTCACAACTATAATATACATTTTTGCACCAGATCAAGGAAACATGACCAACATTTTGCATGAATTGCGGATCGTAATGGCATGTAGTATCAGATTTTGCTGCGTGATGCAGGGAAATTGGACTTCAAGCTAGAACAACTCAATGTTTCTCAGAAATACGCAACCTAAAGAAGTTTCCGAAAATTTTCACTGACGACTGAAAAATTTCCTTTCCTTTTCTTTTTCGTTTTTTTTTTTTTTTTTGGGCTGAACTGAAAGTTTCTATTAAGACTGACAATGGCATGAGTGAACTTACTAAACATCCAAATAGACCACATTCCCATTAACCTCCAGATATCTGGTTCATTTGATGGGAATAAGAGGTTAAAGGACAAAGCTCCACCTAACAACATTGAGGCATACCCTTGAACCTCAAAAACAGTATACAAGGCAGTTCCAGGGACGGCAGGATTCTTTGAGGCCGTGGAAGCCCTTGGTGCAAAAGTTGAGGCAGTCTTTTGAACAACCTGTCGTGCAAATAGAGATAAATTCAGTCTACAATGTCTAGTAACCAATATCTTCAGTTCTTCTCAGTCCCAGGAATTTGCACAACGTTTCAGGGGAAAGGCATGCACTATCCACAATTGACTAGAGCCTAGTGATTTACGCGGAAAACAGATGAACAATCACCAGGGAATCCACCAAAACCGCGACAACTTGCAGAGCGATATTTTGTATCAGGGGTTAACTTTTCACGGAAACAAAGGGAGTGCCTTCAGTATACCTTAAATTTACATCCCTGTTACTCGAATAGAAGTGAGGCTTCCGATTTCAAAATCAGACATAATGGATTAAGGGTGTGTTTGGATGACACCCTAAACCATGGTTTGGGGACCCAAACCATGGTTTGGGGTGTCAATCACCCAAACACCCCCTCTAAAAACCAAAACCATGGTTTTGGAAAAAGCAAAATTTTTTTGCTTTTGGAGAAAAAAGGGAGAGTGTGAGAGCCTATATGATATGTATCTTGTTATTTTTTTTATAAACATATTTTTTGATGATAAACATATTTAATCTTATAATAAATATATATACACATTAATTATTTATTAATTATATTATCTTATGTATTATTAATTATGTTGGTAAAAAATATATTATTAACAATTTTATTCATTCAAATTAAAATATATCATAAAATCTATTTTTTCTGTAATTATCATATTAACTTATGTCTTTTTTTTAGTAATTTGTATATATAAAAAGTGCTTCTGATAACAACTATCCAAATACTCTCACTTCTCAGAATCACTTTTTTACAAAATCTATTCTTCACAGAATCTATTCTCTCCAAAATCTATTCTCCAGAATCACTTTTCCAAACCACGGTTTGGTTTCATCCAAACACACCCTAAATAAAAAAAAACTTCGGTCCAAGTACCCAGTCTTAATACGATCCAGACCGAAGTACGAACTCTTAGAATGCATTAAAAAAATTACTGATACGAAGTGGAAATTCCGAAAATCGAAATAAATTGCGCATGAAGGGTGGTCCGGGAAGCAAAACTAGCCTTTTTAATATCCTTGTCGATAGAAGCAGAAGAGGCGGGTCGACTGGAGACCGTGCTTTCCACGGTGGATTCCGCTTTTAGCTCTTCCGACAGCTGCTCACCAACCGCTTGTGTGTTTGTTTCATCCGAAGTTGCCCGGGGAGATACCTTGTAGCGTACTACAGAGCGTGACAAGTTGGTTCTGTCGAGTGCAGGGATGGAATGGAACCCCGACAACTTTATGTTCGTAAGAACCGGAGAAGCGACATGGAGACCCGAGGCATGACAGCTGCCAGGAGGCGTTGAGATTGACAAGATCATTTTGTCCGAAATCCCTTGGGCCTTCAGCTTTCCATCGGAAACTGGAACTCGGAAGAATTGAGATGAGAGGGATAAGGAATTGTGAGGCGGAGAACCGAGCTGGGGTTATGCCCAACGACGACGTTTTAGCTGTCCAGGCAAGTCCATAGTCCGAACCATCTGTGTTCATCTATTCTGGATGACACATTGACGTGGGCTTCTTCTCGTGTTTTTCTCTCTCTGTTTTTTTTTTTTGGAGCTGAATGGCTTCTTCTCGTTGCTAAGGACAAGGGCTTGTTAAACTGCTTAGCTTTTAAAATTTGATTGAAGATCGTCGTAGTATTTCACTTGTTTGCAAAAACGTCCTTTGCCAAGTGTAATATTAATTTGAATATATTAAAAATTAGTTAAGTTAATTATTTATAATAAATAAGTATTATCTTTTCTAAAATATCATTGCTAACCAAATGTATTGATTAAAATTACTATTATTGTAGGGATTACTTTAAGAAAGAATGAATAAATATAAAAGACAAAACAAATTAAGATTTTATATTTAGAATTAGAATAAAAATTAAATAAATTCTTACATTAAGAATTAAAGGTATAGTAATTAAGTGCATGTTTTGCTCCATGGAAAAAATAAAAGAAGCCAAGTGCATGTTTTGTCACATCAAATTTTGATTTAGTGACCGCAAATATAAAACGATGGGGAGAGACGGAACGTGGCAGAAGTCTAGAAGACAAGTAAATGATCTAAGATGCCCTTGTAATATGGCAATACTAATTCCGTCCATGGAGTTTATCATCTTTGAACCTATCTTTTAAAAAGCCTTTGGACAACACTTGGATGTCGATGACGACGAACCGACTCTTAGGGACGCAACAACGACGGGTGGAATGTAGCCAGCGAAAGAAGCCCCTGTTTGTTCTCAGGTCTGTGGAGGAGACGGATTGAGGCATGGGACGAACTAGGGCTGTGCAAAGACTAGACCAGACCGGGTTACTCATCAACCCGAAGTCTAGTCTAAGTAAGGCCTCGGGTTGGAAAACACAATCCTTAGTCTGGTCTGGTCTAGACAGAACCTGAATTCGGGCTAGACCAGACTTGGTCTCTTGGACTAGGGGGACCGGTCTAGGTGGTCCATCTTCTTCTTCTTCTTTTTTAAATAATTCAACCAGCAAAATCCACTTAATAGCCAGCCTAAAATGCACAATGAGGGAGGAAGCGCAAACATTGAGCTTGCAGATCAAGGATGAGGGGGGAAGAAGCATGGGTCGATAGGGAGAATGAAGAAGAATCACATATCCATGGGAAGGAGGAAGATGCATAACTGATCTAAAAGTTGAAAGATGCGAAGTTGATTGAGAAGGCTAATCGAAGCCAGCAAACTGAAAAGGGAGAGATTGAGGATGGTGTCAACACAGTGACCTGAAGGGGGAGAGGTTGAGGAAGGCAATACGAACTGTAGGTGGACAAAAAAGACTCTAGTGGTGCAGTGGTCGTGAATGGTCACAGGTGATAGAGTAGGAAGGTCGCTAATGAGAGAGCAACGGGGTGGAGACTAAAAAAATTAAGAAGATGATGAAGAAGAAAGAGGTGAGAGGCTGAAGACTATAGACTGAGATTGATGATGAGGAGACTAATTTGGTGGCCAGTGCTTGTTGCTTTTGAGATTTAGATCATCGACGGCAAAGGGATGAGAGATGAAGAAAGCAAGACCGAAGCTGGTAAGGTATTGAGGTTGACGGCGACAGGAAGTGCATCTATGGGAGAGGAAAAATGATGGTTAGAATTATTTTTTTTAATATATATGTATATATAATATTCGGGTCAGACTAGATTGGACCAAGTGGTCTAAATGCTTGGTTCCTGGTCCAGTCCAACCCGAAGAAAAGTAATATGGTTTGGTTGGTCTTTTATTGC